AGGTGTAGTTTCTATAGTCCAGGTGTAGTTTCTATAGTCCAGGTGTACTTTCTATAGTCCAGGTGTAGTTTCTATAGTCCGGGTGTAGTTTCTATAGTCCGGGTGTAGTTTCTATAGTCCAGGTGTAGTTTCTATAGTCCAGGTGTACTTTCTATAGTCCAGGTGTAGTTTCTATAGTCCAGGTGTAGTTTCTATAGGAGGAAAGATAAAAAAAAAACATATTAAGATAGAAATAATTACAAACAGAGTGAGTAAAGACAGCAGCAGAGAGTGTGGTCAGTTTGTCCTCCAGCAGTCTAAGCCTATAGCAGCACAACTAAGGGATAGTTCAGGAAACCCAAACTGACCCTAACTATAGGATTTATCAAAAAGGAAAGTCTTCAAACTGGACAATGTGTCAGCCTCACGGACAGAAACTGGAAGTTGGTTCCACAAGAGAGGAGCCTGAGAACTGGAAGATCTTCCTCCCATTCTGTTTTTGTAAACTCTAGGAACCACAAGTAAACCTGCAGTCTGAGAGTGAAGTGCTCTGTTAGGAAAATATGGAACAATAAGATTTGTAATATAAGATGGAGCTAGGTTGTTGAGAGCTTTGTAGGTTAGAAGTAAGATTTTGAATTCTATTCTGGATTTGACAGGGAGCCAATGGAGAGAAACTAAAACTGGAGAGAGATGATCTCTCCCAGTAACTCCAGTTAAGACTCTGGCAGCAGCATGTTGGATCAACTGAAGACGTTTTAAAGAAGTATTTGGACATCCAGATAATAAACCATTGCAATAGTCCAGTCTAGACGTGACAAATGCATGGACCAGTTTTTCTGCATCATCTTTAGATCACGTTTCTAATTTTAACGATATTACGCAGAACTTGGTTTGGGTATTCAGTTTAAAATGTTTTGGTTTTAGAATTTGATAGTATTTATTTATTTGATTTTTTTAGGTTGTGCATAAAAAACACACACAATGTGAACAATTAATTGCATTCTGTACAAAAACTATATTTACACCCATTTTCCATGTTTTCTTTTATCAGATGAGTTTATGTGTAAACTACATTTTCTGTTGCGAATGACTGAAGTAACCTTGTTTAAGGTTTTTAAATTGAATTAGCGCGACGTCCAATAAAAGAAAATGTGTGAGTTTATAAGATTATTGAAAGTTTTTTTGTTCGTGTCATCCAGCCTCACATGTATTTTTTGTTGGACAGCTGTTTAGGCAGATGCTGCGGTGGTTCTGTGATCAGGGCCGGTTTTATAATCCCGAGGTTGCAGGTTCGAGCCCAGGTTGTGGCAGAAGGACCATCCGGCAAAAACAAATGCCAAAACTTTGTGCGAGTCTGTTCCGTGTGGCGACCCCGGCAAATGGAAGCAGCCTAAAAGAAGAAGACGTTTAAATTATATCTTATGACGTTAGAACAAGTAGCTCGCAGAATGTTGTTAAAAAAACCAACACAACTCTTGAAAAACGACGGACACATCAAAATGACCAAACATGCTCAAACACTAATCACGTGGCATATATTCATTAAATGTAAAACTCTACATTTAAAGTAGCTAAAGCAGTAAAACATTGCAGAATAACAAAAAATCATGAATACTTCTGATAAGTTTAAAAAATAAAATGTAGGACTTGTCTTAAATTTGCTCTGACATGTAAACGAGAAAACCCACTGGTTCGTTCCCACCATCACATGATTTGTGAGACAGATGGCCGAGGAGCAAGAGACGCAGAGGGGAGCCTTCTGACATCATCGTGCTTTATTTTAGGACACGCAAACAACCAAAAATAAAAAGGTGGAAAACAGTGAAGGTCATTTTTACAAACTGCAACTCACTTTAAAAAAGACGAGCCACGTGTCTGTCGTCTTCCTCTGTTTACGTCTTCATCATAATTCCATTAGCACAAGCTGGCTTGTCTTCTTCTTCCTCCTTTCTTTGTACTAACACATATATACATAAACCATCGGGGGGAGATGGGGTAGAGGCAGGGCAGCCAACCTGGGACCAGAAAGTTGCAGGTTCAACTCCCCACCATGCCCACATGCTGCAGTGTCCCTGAGCAAGACACCCAATCCCTAATTGCTCCCCGGGCGCCCACATAGCTGCCCGCTGCTCCACCTGGGTGCATCTCAGGTGTGGTGGGTTAAATGCAGTGATGGACAAAGTACTCAACTCTAGTACTTAAGTCAAAGTATTGATATTCAAGGTCAAATCTTAAAAGTTGATCAGTCAAAAGTTTACTCAAGTTAAAGTACTTAAGTACTTACTTTTGAAAATACTCAAGTATTCAAAAGTACAAATTATATTTTCTAGTATCAGTACATTTCTGTTGTTTTGAGTGATTTTACAGAACCTTAACTCTGAAACACCTGATGATGTATTAGAACCACTCAAACACCACATGTCTTAATAAAACCTGTAAACCACAAATATCTTCCCTGAATTTTACATATTTGTGGAAAGTCACAGAAATCCCTAATGCACATTAGTCTTTTCCTCAGCTTCAGTATTTGTACACCACAGTGTGGAAAAGGGCATGTACTGACAGCAACTTAACACTGATGACTGGACGTTCTGCCAGACTTCACATAGAAACATTGAACGTTCTGCACAGATGAATCTGACACGATGGGATTTACCTGTATAAATAAAGGTTGATTGATGATACCTGAACCAGCAACTGGCCGACTGCGTTCAAGGAAAGAAAAGCAGCTGCTTACAAAGCTGAACGAGAAGCTTCCTAGAAATGTGCAGTGGAAAGTCATAAAGCCCCAAAAACACAAATGCTCAAGTAAAGATACTCAGAAAAAGTACTTGAGTACAGCACTCAAGTGAATGTACTCAGTTACTGTCCACCACTGGTTACATGCAGAGAACATTTCATCATTGTACAGAAACATATAATGATGACAACACATGTATGTGCATGAAAAAACACGAGCACGGGACACGGTGTGTTGGAGAAGGGACAGGAGCTCCTGCACAACTTTTAGACACGTCGACTCAGTAACGTGGTCAAACAAGAGCTGAGCAAAGAGAGTAATGTTTCTGATTTAAAATCTACCTGGTTTTACTCATTATTCTTATTATTTGTGCAACTTTCTAACTCGCATCACGTGAGAATTCCAGCTGAGGATCTAACGACAAATACCTCTTCTATTTTTACTTCATCGATTTCCAGCTCAATGTCCATGATGATTTTCCCATTTCCAAAAAGCACAAGTTTAGTCTTGTTTAAATTTAGAGAGAACTTATTTTTGATAAACTATTGTTTTAATCAACCATTTCTAAAAGCTGCTGCCGGTTGTCCCCAGTGCACTGAACAATTGTGGCGTCTGCAAAAATACGTCGTTTTGAAGTTGTGCACACGTCCTGGACATGTCGCTCCTGCGGTCGAGGTCCAACCAACACGACACACGCTGATCCTGCAGAGACGGAGATAAAAACCTCCTCGTCCACAAGGTTTTAATGAAAGAATAAACATCACCTGGTGATGGAGTCAAACAGCTCAGGAAGGAAATCATCATTTTTACAGTCATGGGTATTTATCCAACTCCAGTTTCCTCCCACAGACCAAAAACATGCCAGTTAGACAGACTGGTAACTCTAAACTGTCCCTGGGTGAGAGAGAGAGACAATGCTTGTTTGTCTCTATATGTCCCTGTGATGGACTGGAGACTGTCCAGGTGTCCCTGTGATGGACTGGAGACCTGTCACGGTGTCCCTGTGATGGACTGGAGACTGTCCAGGTGTCCCCCGTCTCTAACACAGTGACTGATGGATTGTGGGAGTGGTGGCGCAGAGGTTAGAGAAGGTGGGCCTGTGATCGGAAGATCGCCGGTTCAAGCCCCGATACCGACAACATCAAAAATGAGGGTGGGGTAGGTGAAGCACCCACACCTGCCCCCACCCTCATTCGCCCCACTCTGGGCCCATGAGCAAGGCCCTTAACCCCCATCTGCTCCTAAACAGGTCTCTCTTGAAAATAGTTCTCGTGGCTCAATGAGACTAAAATACATATATATATACATATATATATATATACATATATATGTATATATATATGTACATATATATGTATATATATATGTACATATATATGTACATATATATATACATATATATATGTGACCCACCAGTGACCCAAAAAAGCAGAAACCAGTAAAGATGGATGGATATTTATCTGAACTGAGGTATATTTCATGTGAAAAGCAGCAATTGAATGTTTTCAGCTTAGAGTTCAAGTAGGTTTTATTATCATTCACATCACGTGGTGCATGAGGTGGAATGAAACTGTGTACACTGGGTCCCAGTTATATCCAACAAAGCAAAAATATAAACTGTAAACAAGTACCGTAATAATAGATCTTACGAAAGATAATAATTTTACCATTTAGCTGCACAAAAAGTTTCCTGGACATGCCATTAAAATCTATATGAATGAGTTACAGATTATTTTACAGTGTATATAAAAATGCAATGATGACGAGGTACTGACCTCAAACTGGGCCATTGGCCACCAGAGCAAGTGAACTGGGCCCAGCAACGAGGTACTGACCTCAAACTGGGCCATTCGCCACCAGAGCAGGTGAACTGGGCCCAGCAACGAGGTACTGACCTCAAACTGGGCTATTGGCCACCAGAGCAGGTGAACTGGGCCCAGCAACACGGTACTGATCTCAAACTGGGCTATTGGCCACCAGAGCAGGTGAACTGGGCCCAGCAACACGCGCTCTGCTTCCACCTGGTGTCCGACACTCTGCAAGCAGCACAACCTTCATTACGTAAGAGGAGCTGTGCTTCCTGTCAGTCATGTGACCCGCTCTCAGCTGATGGAAGCCATGACTCATGCAGCATAAGACCATTTGGAATTATTCTTATTTATTAACACACATTATGCACTTCAGTGGCACCTTCATATCCACGGAGATATGGATCAACAGGCATCTCATACACACAGTGGTTTAAATACACTGTGATAAATCACACATACAAAAATCTGTTACTGAATTTAAAAAAGACTTTGCCTGAATAACAGTTTAACCTCATTGTTCATGAATTATCTTCTTGTAAAGGCCAGCTAAGCTGAGGGCATTATAGACTGTTCCTTATATTTATGGATTATGTCATGAAAATCAGTGGACAGTGATTTATCGCACTCAGTATTTTTTTACCACACAATATGGAGTGTGGTGCAGCTTGAACTAAACAATGGTGCCGACTTCCACAGGGTTTCTCAGCAGATCCATATTCGCTCTTTAGTTCTCCTTCAGCGAGTCTTTGAGGACATGTGGTGGTGAAGGAGCTCACTTGCTTTCTTCTTCCAGGTACTCCAAGCCGGGCGCGTCAAACCTCTGCTCGTGGTTCTTGTTCTTGGTGAAGTCCTGCAGCAGATCCATGACTTCTCCTTGGTAAACTTCAGGGGTGGGCTGAGCTTCTGTCAACAGGACGGGTCGAGTCAGTGACATTCCAACTCAAGTGTTGTTTGAGGAAAAACAGCAACTAAATGTATTTAATCTTTATTTTTTTAGCTAGAAGATAAATAAGGGGACATGTGAGTGAAGACTGAGAGAAGCACCTCGACAATAATCTTGTATCAAAATTGTTTACTAGTGGAAAAAAGGCTGAATCAAATGATGAACCGTCTCTGACCGTATCCGTTTAAAGCTTAAAATATTTACTGCAAAAGCAAAAAGACTAATAAACAAATCAAATAAAAATATAGCAGGAAAAAAATTGTACTTTATACTGGGGCCGTGTAGGAGTTCCTCAAATGTCAGACAATTAAATAAAAACATAAAGAAAACTAAAGTTAATTTGCTAATAAAGTTTACTGTTAAAACAAAGTGATATCAAAAACTTAATGTTGGTCTCAATTTTAATTTTCAGCAGCATTTTCTAGAATTTTTCTGGCTTAGTCACTATAATTTTAAACACTGCAATGATAAATAGTATCTATTATATAATAATAGTATCTATTATAATAGTAGAATAGTAGTAGTATAGTAGTGGAATAATAGTATCTATTATAGTAATATAAATAGTATTTAAAACCTAAATAATTTGCAGTATCATTAAGTTCCAGTAGATCTAAACCTTTTGTCTTTACAGGTGAAGTGGTTCCTGGTGTCTACAGCTAAACCATTAACTTTTAGTTGCTTTTATATGTTTGATAAGGACTCTTTGTACAGAGCACCCGTAGTGATGCTAACAGGAAGTAAGAGAACTATTAGAAATAAGGAACAACGTTACAGCTAATGAGCCCTGATTAAACATTTTGGAAATTTAATTAATAAAGGCAAAAACTAGTAAAATGCTGTGGAGTAATAAATCCAGTGGTGAGCGTGTACGTCTTTTTATTTCCAGCTAAAAAAAATAAAGAGTTCTACATTTTGGGTGCACACACAGAAAAGCCTGCATCCACAACATTTTCATGCGTGCAGTGGTGAAACAGCTGCCACTGGAAGCTGTGGACACACTCAGTAAGACTCTATCGAAAAGATTACCTCGTCAAATAACATGTTGAAACCTTCCCTCACCTGTGGCCCAGTAGTAGATGTCCCAGTCATTGCTGGGTTCATTAATCAGTCTGTCGTACTGCTGCAGCTGGCTGTAAGTCATGGTGTTCAGGTATCGTTTTGCAAAAAGGCTGCAAAATAGAAACTTGTGTTACAAACACAAAAAGAGACAAAAGTCTTTTTGTTACATTCATTGAGCTCAAATAAATCATATATACACTGAAAGTGATCAACAGCATTTTCCAAAATACATGTTGTCATTTGAACGCAGGTGTTTTCTGCCAGCTGCCATTAAGCTGTATAATGAGCAGTGTAGAAACTAAATGCATGCTAAAGTTTTATTAACCTTTATTTAACCAGACAAATGCCACTGACATCACAGAGCTCTTTTGCCTGAAGGCAGCTAACATGCAACGTGTACTAAATGTAAATGTACCGCCAACATTGGTATTTTTTTTTTAATTAGTGTATTTTTGGGGTTTGGTATTTTAGCACGAGTGTGAATATTTTTGAATGATTATCTTGTTGGTGATGTCGTCTGTGTGCTGCTGCTGAGATCCTATAATTTCCTGCAAAGGATCAATGAAGCATCCATCCTTCTAAAAAAGCTGTTGAAGTATTTTCAGACTTATGCGTTGTCCAAAATAAAAAGTCATCAAAGCATTTAAATGGCAGAAAGTTGGGACCCCCCCCAAAAAAAAATAATCCTGACAACCTGAGCAATATGCAGTTTTCCAACATGCCCCTCTTGCGACTCTCATAAAGAAGCCGACGTCTCTTGATGCCAATAGGCTCGTCTGGTTTTTCCTCCCAGGGGGGCAAAGGAATCTGTATCAGGTCAATCCGGCTGTCATCAGGAGCGTCTCCACGGTAACCACGAGATGACGTCACCCCTGTGATTGCTGGTCTCCAGGCTGTCTGGCACATCCTTGCTACCAGCTGACAGACAAAAGAAAGCGCACGTAGGTGAGCGAGCGTGTACGTTTAATAAATGTGACAGGTTAAAAATGCACTTTTACCCTCGGGCCAACATGACCCACAAGTCTTAAAAGTGAGGCCGGGTTCAGTTCTGGTGAAAGTCCTCCAGTCTCTGAGTCCTGGAGGCTCAATGACACTAACCCGGATACATAAAGGTTGAATGAAAGGTCCGGAGGGGATCAGTCAGCATTACATCAGATTATACCAGAGACCATTCTGTCTTGCTTTGTAGAGACACTTTCTTCCATTTCCTTAATGTGACCAGCAGAACGTATCGTTTCTGTCCTTCATGGGTATTTCTGCAGGACCTGACCATAGCCAGCACCACTCATGCAGCTGAGAAGCATCACAAGCTCTGCAGATGTCCTCAGGAAACATGGACTACAGCAGGGGCAGCAACACCGACATGAAGTTACCACCACAGCATCTAAGCAAGGCTTTAGGGTTCTGGAAGCGGGTTTGAACCGGCGCATACACAAACAGTTACCTGGGTAACTTACCTGTTTTGCAACAAGAGCCGACAACATATTAATCTTTTTTCTTTTCTTGCAACGTTCGTAGACTTATTTAAAGTTCACTCCTCCCGACCATAAGGACGTTTATCTGCCGTAAGGAACGTTTCCGCAACAAAATTACACAAGCAAGCGTCTTACGTCACAACGGGTCTGCGCACCGCAAGAAACTACCGGCTGGAAACAAAACATATATCTTGCTTAAGCTTTAAAGTAACGGAGATGTAAAAACACGCAAAAAACCGTTTTTTCCAAACTTAAAAAACTTACATTGTTATGTTTGTGTATTTACGAAGACTTACAATTCCCATCTAAGCTAACCTAGTAGGAACTAAACTGCAGGAACACATATTGATTGTTGTTCTCGACCGGACAACTATACCTGGCGCACCACTGTTTTCATTTACAAGGAAATTAGCGTTAGCCGACCAGAATGCGAGCGTGCAGAAACGTGAATCTGACTGCGTGCGCGTTTGTGGGTGGAATCTACTGCACGGTTTAGTACTTTGGTCCTAAACATTTTTATTTTCATGTTTTGCTTTTGCCAGCGTTTCGTTGTTTGTTTTGAGTCTTTTTATTTTGTATTTATTTTCTTTGCACACCTAAGCGGAACCTTAACGGCTAGCTACAGAACTTGGGTGTTGAAACGTTGCATCAGTTCTCCAGTGAACGGGCCACTGGTTGTCGATATTCACCGTTACTGTGCGCAGAGCATGTGTGCAAACTGAAGCAGCTGCAGTCTGGGTGGAGAAGAAGCTTCGGTGCTAACAGTTGAGCATCTGAGGCCCAACATGGCTGCCGCCCGACCTGCAGCCGGAACCAGCGCCGCTGCAAGTGAACACGTAGATATCTACGGCGACCTTTGCGCAGACGATGAAAAGGTATGTCTCATGTTCACACTTTATATAGATCTACTTTTAAAAAATGGCGAATTTTTAAATCAGTCTTTTGTGCAAAAAGCCAAGATGGCGCTCTGGCCAGCATCCTCGGTGCTCTCAACAAGTGTCATGATTGTTTCTGTACCGGGAGGAACTCCTCAGCAAAACCGATCCCAGTGGATATACTTGACCATTTCCTCGTTTGAGCGGATCCATTCTGCCGAACTTTTGGTCAGAGACGTTGCAGGTTCCAATGGGATGCGCAGAAGAAAGTGCAAGCGCGCGCGCGACAGGTTGCATCACGGAAACCAGTCCCTGGGCTCGTCCTGGACTCTGCATCCAACAGCTTACACATTTACTTTGTCATTTAGAAGAGATTACAGGATCAGCGTTTCTGTGGAAGGTTTCGTACAGATGTGTCTGAGCTTGTTCTCATGAGGCCAGGACTCCTCTGCAGGTCAGAGGTCACTCTCAGGGATGAACATGTGAGGCCAGGACTCCTCTGCAGGTCAGAGGTCACT